ACTCATTTACGTGATGTTATGTGTGTGGAACTTATTTTTTTATTATTGTGAAATGATCAATCAATGAAGTCGCGACAAATGAGCAGGCTTACCTGATTTAACACGTATGTGGCAGTACTGAGAAATAATGTTAACTTCTATAAATTTAACTAGTGTCATTTTGGGATAGCTTTTCAAATAATGTGAATTTTTTTTGAAGTTTGGTAATGAAACTTAATTAGAGTTGAGGAGGTTTAAGCAATAACTTATCTTTAGGTCTGAAACATAGGAATATTGTGATCCTCTTGTTTTGCCCCACCTTTGGATGATAAGGTTTAATTTTTCTTGAGAATTTCTTCAAATTGCTTGGGTTTATTGCACATAAGGGCAATTCTTTGGATGACTTTTGGAAAATTTTCAGACAAAAATCGAAATTTTATTGATTTTTCCCATCAGAGACACTGATTTTTTGATTCTTATCGATGTAAAAATCTAAAATGAACACTACTTTTGATATCATGCACTTCTAATCGCTATATTAATTAAGTTATTTGGATTCTTCAGACAATAACTCGATGACAGAAATCGGAATTTTCAATTTTCATCATCCGAAGAATCGAAAATTAGAGAAAACTATTGATATCCACATTGAATAACTTTTACTGAGTTATAGATCAGGCAAAAATCTTTAATTGAGTTGCTTTTTCATATGCTGTAAATCATTAATTATTGAAATATTTCAATTCTTTGAAAAATTTCCTTGTGTCATCGAGTTATAAAAAAGCTTTTTTTTGTCTTCATCCGTGAAAAAATACAAAATTTTCAAACATATTTTTTCAATTTTTCACTTAATTTGGGTGAGTTGTAACATTTCAATAGATCACTTGTAAAGATTTAATTATGCTTAATGATCTACAAAAATTCAGGCTGATTATTCCTTCGTAGTAATATGAAATTAAAGAAAACATTTTATTGACACAAAACTCATTGACATTGGATTATGAAAGCTCATTTTTTTCAAATTCCACTCATCCAAAGAATTGCACATAAACATTTTCTGACAGTGTCTATGGAACAGGGTTGCAATACAGGCACCTGTGCACAGGTGTGAACCGTACAATTCCTTGATAATTTATAAGGTTTTTCTAACAAAACCATAAAAATTCTACTAAAACCTCACAAATTATCGAGAAATTGTACGGTTTTCGCCTGTGCACAGGTGCCTGTATCGCAACTCTTCTATGGAACCACATTTAAAAAAGTTTAGTGCAATCTCAGTTATAAGTTTATAATTTGGGATTTGAACACACGTCATTTAAAACCTTAATTGTAAATCATTTTTCGAATTAGCTTGTCCACTAGACTAAGAATGTGATAAAAAGTTCATTGCAATTTGTTGCACATAAATAGCCAATTAAAAAGATTCTAGCTAAGCAGATAGCTTTAAGATTGCGTGTTCAGAGTGCGGTATCCAGGGCTCCTCGAGGTACACATTATTTATTTTGAACATTGCTGTCAATTTTGGTTGCAAATAAAATTCAATTGTGACTAAAGTTCGTGTACCAGTCTTGTCACCCAAATGCCCATCTGGCTCCGGGCCTGACAAAAACGTCTAAACCATTCACTTTATTAAGTCACCAAGAAAAATGCGTTTTGTTTCACATTTTTCAAAAACATTTCATAACTCTATTTCATACATTTATTAGTTGTGAAGGCAACGACATTAAAAAACAACCATCGAGAGACGACGACAAAAAAGAGCTCGAGAGGTTCAATTTTCTGTTGAGCAAATAAATAACCTTCAGAGTTTAATTCAACTGATAAGATAAGCAAGTTATTTTTTCTTCTCTGTTTGTTTTTCCTTCTTCTTCAAATTTTTCAACCTACGGGAAAAATATATTAAAAAAAAATCATTATGAAAAATAAAATAAAACTCTTCCTTTATGATGAATCGAGTTGAATAATAATTTTTTTTGTGTGTCTCGCTAGCTTTCACTGCGATGTCTGAGGGCACTTTGAATATATTCTGATAACTTCCTTACAATTTTATATCTCAGTTGCCTTATTTATAAGAATTTGATAATCTGATAGTATATCAGCTTTTTGATATGATTACAATGATACGTGCAGTGCATATCTGGCTTCTCTTTTACCTCCTGCAAATGATAATGACTATTTATCTGATTGCTTTATATATATTAATATCATAACAATAACGTGCTATATTCGATTAGATATGATACAAAATATAACATAAGAATGCGTCGAATGGCAGATAACCTTTTGTTTTGGTTTTATTTTGGCGCGCTTCCTACTTTTTAATTGATTTTTGAAGTTATTACTTTTGAAGCTATTATGTTATTGGGCCTTGACGATTTTCCTAGGACTATTGCTCAACGGTAAAATTATATTTGAAATTCACTAACACTATCTTACAAAACATCAAAAATTAAATCCTCAAATATCTTTATTATTCAATCATTATTCCCAAATATTATGATATGATTACGAAAAGTAGATGATACATTAGCTATTCTGCCTATTTTAAGAGCTTTAAAATCATTATTGAATGATATTTTCATGATTTTTTAAATTTCATTTCAATTTTTGTTTGTAAACAAACATCTCACGACAGAAAAAATTCAAAAAATTTAAAACCGTTACTTCGTTATTTCTAATTTGACTTTTTAAAATCGTTATAACTTTCTTAATTAAGCTTAATTTAATTGAAAAATATGCACAATCAACTATTTTAGCTATGACCATTCGGGAAAACATCACTTGAATGCACACAAATAGCTACAAAAAGAGTTTCGGAAAATTTCCCAAAAATTATACGTGAGTGACGCTTACTTAAAGTGATATTCTGAAGCAACTGCTTAACTTTGGGAGATAAAATTTATGTCAAAAGATGGGAAATTTCATTTCCTATTAGGAAAAGTAGTTTTGAAAATTAAGCAATACATAGCGTCACTCACGTATAATTCATCTGCGACGAGGCCCTATTTAATATGAAATAATAATATCTGTTCTACGGTTCTTAAAGTAGATTTTATTATTACAAGTCTATAGTAGCTTGTTACTTGAAGGAGCTAGTAACTTGGGGTAGCTAGTAACTTGGGATAGCTAGTAACTTGGGGTAGCTAGTAACTTGGGGTAGCTAGTAACTTGGGATAGCTAGTAAGTTGTAGTAATTCAATCCAATAAATGAACCATTAAATTATGTATATTGGAGTAGATTATAATACTATAAAATGCTTTAAAACTACAAAATATCAATTGCAAACCCCATCATCCAATGTAAAAGCTTTAGTACTCTAAAATGGCTGTGCGTCTTTCAATTGTTTTTTAAGTGTATCCATGTGACCGAGTGACAACTCAGTCAAGCAATCTAAGGACTAAAGAAGTTTTATAAAACCTCTTCAGTTAAAATTCAAAAAACATGCTGGTACTAACACCTGCAGGCTTAATTTGTTTACGTCTTAATGGGAAAATTCTGTAAAATTCCAAAAGTATTAACGGATTGTCTTCATAAAGCCTCCTTAATCCCCTTTTCCTTCTGCTAAATATTAATATAGTTGGATTATAAATTTTAATTAAACAACTTGCGTTTAAAGTCGAAGCTACAAAAATTCTCTAAAGAATCAACAACACCTAATTAAGCTTTCTTAAGTCGACTATTGTAAAATTTCATAGATAAAAATAATTTTGGAGAAGACGCAATTTTTTCGGCAAATAATTTTTGGGCAACCTTTATGTTCATGGCTTAGATTAAAATGTACTTGAATGTTGCTTCCCATCATTTTTTCCAAGAAGAAATTAAAAAAAAATAGCTCAAAAAGCCACTTGAATATTTTTGGGGTTTTGAGCTCCTTGCCTAACTTGCTGAGTGCTTGGAAAAAAAATATTAAGAAATATCAACAAGACATGTACATTTCTTTATTGCTCGTGAGACGATTTTTATATACATTAATTTCGCCTTGTATATCACATCAACATCACAATCGTACCTGACTCTACTAGAGCACTTTGTTGTACAGCTCTTTTTGTCTGTTGCCGTTCACTCATATTCCACCTGATAAGATAACAATACTTTTGTTGATTTGTAATATAATTGTTTTGAGTGCGTTTGTGAGTGTAGTGTGATGAAAAGGCACGAAATACATTGAAATGTGATTTTTTGAGCACTTTGGGATGTTAATGAAAAATGTGGGGGATTTTGAGATAGGTTTGATGGAAGTGTCAAGAGAAGCTTAGTTTCAATGGTTATTTAAAATTTGAAAGAAATAATTTTAAACGGATTACAAAAAATTTAAATATTTTATCATGGATGTTTTAATTTGTGCCAGTTTTTGAAAATTTCTTTTGGTAAATTTCTTAAGGATTTTTTGATAATTCGAATTCTTAACGGCTTTCGAATTTAAACTTAAGTTTGTATCATTTTTAAAAGTTTGAATTTTCAACGGTTTTAAAACATTTGAACTTGTATCGGTTTTTAAAATTAAAACTTTTAACAGTTTTTGAATGTTTGAATTTTCAAAAGTTTTTATAATTTTTGAAATTGTAACGGTTTTAAAAATCTGAAACCTGTGATAGTTTTAGAAAATTTTAATTTTTAACGACTTTTGAATATTTAAATCATCAATGGTTTTTGAAATTTTGAACTTTTAACGGTTTTTAATGTTTTAATTTGAAGTCTGATCAGATGTAGGCGCAAGCAATTAACACGATAATCACCAATTTTATCGCTCAAGAAAAGATTCCATAATAAAGTCTTCTCAATGAAAGCCCTCAAAATCATCACCAACACCCCACTCATACTTATATGCTTCATTACATGCAAGTGTATTTATTTTCGCCTTTTTCACTACAAAAAAAAAATTGCTATCTACAAAATCATCATCAACGCCAGGTTATATTTCATACGCCAAACACTTATGTGAAATGAAAATATGAAATATAAAAAAAAAATGTTCAACAAATAAAGAACACCAGAAAAAAATTAATTCAAGTCATTTGAAATTTTGTGATTGGAAAAGAGAGGTGCTCCGGTGTTTGTGACATAAAAAAATATTATTAAGGGAAGTGAAAATTATCGAGAAAAAAAGGGAATAAAAAGTGATAAATAAATAAAATTTATTAATCAAGTAAAAAAGAATAATTTTTTTTGGATACGAGAAGTGAAGGAACAAGAAGAAGAAGACATAAAGAATTTAAAAGTGTGTTTTTTGTTCGTCGTCACGAAAAAAAAAGATCAAAAGAACAGAAAGAAATGGTGAATGCAAAATCAGAATCAATAAAGGTACAAATTTTTCTTTGCGGAATAAATCTAAAGAAATCGCTAAAAGCTTTTTGGCAGACATACACAGCACAAAAAAAAATGAAAAGAATATTTAAATTTATTCAAACGACATTAAAAGATGAAAATTGCTTTTATTTCTGTGCCTGGATATTCTTTTTTTTTGAGGATCGATAAATTTTTTTATTATAATCATCACAAATGAGATTTTCAAATTTTTATTAGAGATTCGTATCGTAAAAATTCTCAATAATTGTTTGTTAAAAGTGCTTTAATTTTAATCGATTGCTAATGGAACTGCTTCGAATGAGGGAATGGCGTGGACGATTTAACATGATGGAAAATTAGTGTGTAAAATATTGTGTGTTCTGGATGATCATTGGGATTGTTGGGAGCATTTTAAGGATCTTCTTGATTTATTTCAAAAACTTAGAAATGTTATAATTTGTAAGAATGCTACTCACAACTTAGCGATTAAAGATTCATTTTCCTTTGACTATTATTTTTATTCAGTGGGTAAGTGGACGGGGGGGGGGGGTTAATTTCTCCAACTACTAACCTAATGATTTGACTGATGCTAAACTAGTCCAATTAAATTCAAATTTAAATTTGTTTTTTATAATTATTTAGACACTTTTAATGATATTCGATAGGAAATCTACAAAATTATTAAGAATTGATTAGCATTTTAAATCTAATTTGCATGTTAATATTAGAAATTTTCAACATAACATCACACTGACCTTATGTTTGTGGATTTCAAATAAAGTCAAGAATTTTAAAGATTTTAAAGATTTAAATTTTGTCAATAACTTCTATTTAAATGTGGTTTATGCTGAACTGTTTTTAAAATAATTACTCAGTGCTTGCAATCTATTTAATATTGTAGAAAAAAATGGTTCGAATCCCATTTAAATTATGATAGATCAAATTCGTCTGTTTTGTTTCTTACGGTACTTTTTTTGATGTTGGATTTATCCCAAGAGTATTACATAATAAGTGAATTCATTCATAAATGATGTCCAATTTCTGGGGAATAGGCTTTAAAATCACTTCAATCTTGAGACCCTCTCGGTCAACTACATGTTTATTCTAATGGATTAAAGCAGTGTTTTTCACTAGTGTGCCTCGGCACATAGTTTGACAACCACTGGATTAAAGAAACCCAAACCAATTTTACGTCTTCATTTTTAATTCACAATTCCGAAATTCCATAAAAACTTACAAGACATCCAAATTGATCATTCCAAAATGCACAAAAATGCACAAAAACTTAAAAGTTCTCTCTTCTTTTACGCTTCATTTCCTCTCATTAATTTTAAAAAGAAATGATGTGTGTTACACGATCGACATCGTTAAACCGAAAAAAAGGCAAAAAAAAAACCTTAAAGAATAAAAATTTACATTCGATGATCAGCAAATGACCAGAAGCTCGAAAAACAACTAAATTATATCTCAGCACCATAATACGATAAGCGATCTGAGACAAGATTTCGCTTCTCTTTGATTATCCATGTCGCAAATGAATGAGCATAACATAGTAAAATTAATTAATTATATTAGGTGGAACGATATCGTTTTTCTTGTTATCGCTGATTGAAATCTGAGAAGCCTCCCCTGTAGATTTACTGTCTTCATCATTACTTGTGGATGGATATAAATTTTCGAAAAAAAAATTATCGCGTTTGACCATTGAAATATTTTGTACTAGAAATGATTAGCCCAATCGGATGTACAAGTTGAGGGAATAGCTTAAGCATAATGTTAAGTACATTGATGTTTGTGAGATTTATTGAACTTTTGAGATTTAAATTCTAACGGATTTTTAAAGCTTGAAATTTTAACGTATATTTGTAATTTAAATTTCAACGGCTTTTTAAAGTTTAAATTTGAACGCATTTTCGGAAATCTAATTTTAACGAACCACTAAATTCAAATTGAAACGGATCTTTTAAATTTGAAAATCATAAATTCGAAAATCCCCCCCATTAAATTCTAAAACAGACAGCTCAGCAGAACTATCTTCTAAAATCAACATACAAAGTCGCATACAGGAACAGAAGAAGAATTCACTTTTTTTTAGGGATATACACATATAGAATGAAGAAAAAAAGAAGGCATTAACATTTCACGCGTGCCAACATGTCATCATTTTCTCATTCAATATAATGTGCCTTATCTCTTAAATTGTCTGCTCTTCGTCTTTCTTCCATTCCATTTCGAGGCTCGGTATAGATCTTTTGTTCTTATTCCTTCATATATGTATTTTTTTTGTGTCCGTTCATATCTCCTCATCGTTCCTCTTTTGTCAATGAAATCGATTTTCTATGGATCCGAAGAACATTCTTTCAGTTAATTGAATATGGACATTCTTATGTCATTTGGAAATAAATTTTCCGTGTGAGTCAAGAAGTAAGCGGGGCTATAAACAAATAATTATGTCAATAAATTAAATGGAAGCGACTAATTGATTCCATAAAATGAATGGTGAATGAAATGCATTACGAATGCGTCCTTTTTTACGCATATATATATCCTCGGACAGAAGATCATGTTGTCATAAAAGAACAGACTGTTAAACTAGAGGCGCCCTTTACCGGTCTTTGTGATGAACTTTTTATTAGTTTTCAGTTCCAAAAATGTGAAGATGAAGTGTTGAGACGGTTTTAATTCGAATGTGATGACTCTTTGATCGAGTTTCATTATTTCCGGGAGTTTTTAAAGCCTTTGAAGTATTTTTGATGACTTCTGTGATTGGAATTTTATTTTTGTTGTATCTGGGATTTATTTTGAATATTTGGCTGGATAGTCAATAGATGATGATACTGAAAATCGATGACTGTAAAATATTTAATATTATGAATGAAGAGGGATAATTTTAGGTTATGTAACCTAGCCTACAATCCTTCATAATGGTTGGAAAGCCTCCAGAATAAATCTGTCGAGTACAAGATTACATCCTGCCCGAAGCTTTTATAAAGTAGCTATTAATAAAACCTCCACAAAAATCAAAAAACTATAAACACAAAGTTTAATCTCACGAGTATTCTGTCCTCACGAAGATCTAATCTTCACTCCTATCATTGCCAACACGTTTTTCCGTTAAACTTGCAACAATTTCTTCTCACCTGTATCTAGCTGATTATTAACAATTATGATTAGATAAAGAAATATAATAATAATTCATTGACATATGAGTCATCTGCCATATCGGGATGGGAAAATACTCCAAATAGAAGCGAGCGGCATGGCAGCGGCAAAAAAATGCTAATATTTGTATTGGCTATTTACTTTGAATATATGAAATAATTAGAGCTGAATAAATATTAATCAATGAGACAGTATTGATAATATAGCGGTGCGATGTGCAATGCTTATTAATTGAAATTCTGGGAAATTTTTTTGGACAGGATTGCTAATTGGTTTTGTGGTATTTGACTGAATATTGGGTTTTGTGGGATATCCTTGAAGAATAATATTGCAATTTATTTATAATTTGTTTTGTTTCATGTTGTTTTGGAATATGTGTGACTATGTGACATAAGCTTAATATTTTGACAACGTAACCTCGAAATGTTGACAATATAACCTCAAAAATTTGACAACATAACCTCAAATGTTGACAATATAGCCTCAAAAATTTTGACAATATAACCTCAAAATTTTGACAAAATAACCTCAAATGTTGACAATATACCCTCAAAAATTTTGAAGACATATCCTCAAAAATTTGACAACATAAGCTCAAAATTTTGACAATTTAACCTCAAAATGACTTAAATCTTCAAAATACTGAAGAGAATCAATCATCATATCTTCATCATTAATCCTTTAAAGTCCTGAGTTCAACGTCTGCTAGAAGAATTTTCTAAATTAATTAATTTCAATATTTTAAAATTCTAAAAATAAAAGTTTTGATCATCTCTTAAGCTGATTGTCTGAAAAATATTTTAACTCGAACTCTTCAAATCCATAAATTCTCTTTAAATATTAATTTATGGTCATTAATACCACGTGAATTTTGTGAATATATTTTTTTAAATTTTTTTATAACTTCAATATTGACTCTGCTGATAAGAAAAGGCTGACTATAACTGACTATAGTCAGCTCATTATTAGGGTATACTCTAGTTTGAGAGCTACTTAGCTTTATCTTGCAAACATCAATAATTTAATTTATAATAGGTTCTGGAAGATTCTATAAGGATCTTTTAGGTTCTAGGCAGAGCTAGTACAAAATCGATGAAAATCTAGAGTCGACGTCGAGCTCTGGTTCTAGGTTATAAGTTGCATAACCTTATAAATCGATCACAATCATATAGTCACCCCAAAACCCAGAACTACCATTAGATTCTCTAATTTATGACACTTGATCGTTTTTGAAGTTAATTCCAAATGAATTAAGCAATTTATTGAGTTATTTGCTTAAAAGTTCCATAAATCTTGACCCAATTAATAAATATTCGATCAAAACAAGATCGAGCATTTCCGATAAAATCATTAATCGCATGTTAAAACGCTTAAATTAAGTAATTAACAACAAAATTAAGAAAATAAGAAGTCCAATCGAATTCCAATTCCATTGATGAGCAATAAAAGAATTATTTAGCATAACTTCGTTCATTTTTATGTGATTTTAAACACTTTTCAGCCCACGAATCAAAAAACCTTTTTTTTATTATTATTTTTCCATTTCCAAATAAAGCTACAAAAAATGATTTGATTGTGATTTATGATTATGAATCTCATCCAACGATGAGTGAGATACTAGAAAACTTACAAATTAGTGGCATATAATGCAAAGTAAATATTTAATGGCGTACATTTTTCGTTCAGCATATAAAAAATAATTTAATTTGTAAAACAGAAACGAACATAAAAAAATATATATTTTTGTTCATTCTTCCTCTTCCATTCATTGCCTTATTGCCGTCGTAAAATTGCACAACATTTTCATTTTACCTGAACGAAGTAGACATGGGATGGTAATAAATTAAGTGCGA